GGTGAAGTAATTGTTCCAAGTAAGTGGACCTCCACTTCGCTTCACTCGCTGTATTGCGGCTAGGTTCTTGTCAGAATTAAAGCCTTTGTTTGAAAACCCTAATCGTTCTCCTGCCTAGTGGCTAGACACCTTAGCAGTACCCGTCCATCAAACGTCCAATGAATATGCATTGCGAGTTTGGCAGCGATGAGTGAAGTTCGCTTCCATGTATTTCGGTGTCGAGATGATGATGATGATGATGATGATGATGATGATGATGATGATGATGATGATGATGAATCTGATGATGATGATGATGATGATGATGATGATGATGATGATGATGATGATGATGATGATCATGATGATGATGATGATGATGATGATGATGATGATGATGATGATGATGATGATGATGAGACATGATGATGATGATGATGATGATGATGATGATGATGATGATGATGATGATGATGATAATGTGATGATGATGATGATGATGATGATGATGATGATGATGATGATGATGATAATGAAGATGATTTGATGATGATGATGATGATGATGATGATGATGATGATGATGATGATAATGAATGATGATGATGATGATGATGATGATGATGATGATGATGATGATGATGATGATGATGAGGATGATGATGATGATGATGATGATGATGATGATGATGATGATGATGATGATGATGACGATTCATGATGATGATGATGATGATGATGATGATGATGATGATGATGATGATGATGATTCGGATTGGATGATGATGATGATCATGATGATCATGATGATTCGGATGATGATGATGATGATGATAATTTGATGATGATGATGTTGAATCGGATGATGATGATGATGATGATGATTATGATGATGATTCTGATGATGACGATGATGATGATGACGATGATGTTCTTGATGTTGATGAATGGGATGCTGACTGATGATGATGATTGTGATGATGATGTTTCGGATGATGATGATGATGATGATGATCGCGAGATGATGATGATGATGATGATGATGATGATGATGATGATGATGATGATGATGATGAATCTGATGATGATGATGATGATGATGATGATGATGATGATGATGATGATGATGATGATGATCATGATGATGATGATGATGATGATGATGATGATGATGATGATGATGATGATGATGATGAGACGATGATGATGATGATGATGATGATGATGATGATGATGATGATGATGATGATGATGAGAATTATTTCATAGAAAAATTGGCAAATATAGGGAAAAGTCAGGCTGCCCTAAAATTGTGGAGTGGTAGATAGACTAGAGGCAGATTGATAATCAAAAACTAAGTTAAAGAATAAAAGCAAGTTTTGTTAACATTGAAATCGACCAAGCGATTAACCGGAGACGTCTGCATTGGACAGAAAACTCGTCTTATCGGGGAATGATATTGGCACGTTTACGACACGGTACGGTGGCCCGGAAAATCCTGTGGATTGAGTAGAACATCAGCCAGTGGGAAAAAGATGAAAAAATCAGGCGAGATTGCACAAAGAGAAAATCGACGCAACTAGGAGGACGCGATTCAATAAACCACTGAAGAAGTGATTTGAGTTTCTCGCACACACACAGACCCGAATTCCTTTACTTAATCAGCCGTGCGCATTATAGCGTGGAAATTAACAGTGTTCAAAAAATCGGTTTGGCTCAACTACACATTGATGCGTAGTCATATTATTCAGCGGTGTTTACTCAAAAAGCAATGGTTACTGAACAGTTCAAATAGGTAAATGTTTTCATCGTCAACTTTTCAAATAGACTGTCAGTATGGTTGCTATTGTCAGTTCAATTGGATTAGTGACTGTATCCAGAGTACATTTCACATGTTCAATGAGAAACCTGATAAGGTACTTAGGAACATTTGATCTCGAATATATAGTCTCCTTTGTATTTTCCCCTGGCAGCCTTTGTACGGCCGCAGCCCCCTTCCTGAAAAATGACTGTACATTTGTATATTCAACAAATAGAAAAAGGAAGTAAAAACACATTTCATTTTCACTAACAGATGCAGTCCGCATCCTATCCTCTCTCATTTTTACTGTATAAATTGAATTATACCGCAGATCAAGGAGGCAACGTTGAGAACAATTTGAAAAAAAATTCTTACTAGGGGACGATCAATAAGATGAACATCTTAGCAGACAAACGGCACTCCCTGGTCGCTTTACACAGTCTACACAGGATACAGTATATGCATACACGCACATATGCGCACATACATACATAGATACATACATACACACATACATACATACATACATACATACATACTTACATACATACATACATACATACATACATATATACGTGCAAAAGAACCAACTGACCGACTGACTGACTGACTGATTGA